AGTTGTTTGAATTATTTTCTTCACTTTTTCACTTTTACACAGTTTGTCGACAATGATCAGGAAAGTAAAAAATAATAGATAGAAAAATTTTTGCTTTTTTCTAGGGGAGGAGGGGGAAACATATACGAATGATTGGATAAGTACTTTTTTTTTTTCTTCAAAATTAGTGCTAGAAAAAAATATAAATAAAAATGATAAAAAAATTTGTTGGCCCTTTTCATAACGTGTAGCAAAAGAAGAAACAGCTTTTTTTGCACTGAAACATAAAACTTTTTGGTTATTTCTGACTGAAAATTGAGTTGCTAAAAAAAAAAAGTTTATGATCAGTTTTTGGAAACATACATATAAAACCGTTGATTTTTGTAGTTCAGTATCGATCAGGCGGCACCATCAGTTTTAGACGACTGTGCAATTTAGTCAGACGTTTAGATAATTGTTTTCAAAGTCCATCATATCAGTTAAGATTGCTACGCTAAAAAAAAGAAAAAAAAAATTTATTTGTAAAAAATAGAATTTTTATCAAATTTTTATTTTTTACTTTTTTTTTTTTAAACAGATTATTTGTTAACAACTTTTTTCTTTGTTAATATTTTTCAGTTACAGAAAAGGAGTGATTTAAATTGTATTTTGATGTTATGCATCAAAGAGTTTTTTGAAGAAAATGAAAGAATAAATTAAATTTCTTTTTTTGTACAATAATCCTAAAATCACGCCTCAAATTGACCGAGTAAAAATCAAGGAAAAAAAATTTTTTTCAAAATAATAAAAATTTTTTATGAGGAAAAAAGATTTAAAAAAGGGCAGTTTTTTTATGACGACAGTAATAAACAGAACTCTTTTTTCGCTGCTGCAAAAAATCTTTTCTGATATATGCAGAAAAAATATCAATATGACACAAACAACTTTTTGTGTCATTATCATTACTATCACTGTTACCTTTTTTTTTTCAGACAAAACCGTATCAAGCAAAACTAAACAAGAAAGGCGATAAAAAATGTATATTTTGGTCAGTTGTAAAAAAAGCAGATAGCACCTCAACAATTTTTTTTTCTAAATTGGTTACAACAGAATAAAAAAAGGTTTTCAATAAATTAATAAGTAAAAAACTGTTGACTATAGAAATTTCTAAGAAAGTTTAGGAAAGTTGAAATTTTTAGCAATAAAAGATTTGTCGACGACTAAAGCCAAATGAACACAGGACAGAAAAAAAAATAAAAAGAATCAGAAAAAACAGCGATACATTTGGTTGTTATCAGCAACGGCGCTACCAAAACAGAAGCAACGGCAACAGCAACAGCACCAGCAGTACCAAAATGTTGGCAGATCGGTGGTGGTGGTGGTGATGAACTGTTTTGCTATAGACCCGTATAGCAGTAGCGGAATATGGACTGTACAAAATATGTAACACCATAACTGCTTTGCATACTAATTTGAATTTTTTGATTTTTTTAAGAGCCGATTAACTTTTAGGGCACTGTCGTTTTGTTTAGCTTTTTTTTTTTTTTTT